CAATGGCTACTTCATTCCAAAGGTGATCCTTTTCATTAAACTGCTGCCTACTAGTTACAATAGATTTTAAGGCTTTCCTGGGAGTAAGCCCCTTGGACTTCAGTGTGGGTGACATCTGTGCAGACTTGTATAGGACTGCACTGTAAGCAAGCAATCTACCCATCAGAAGCTGTTAGGCATCAGCTTCAACCCATTAAACAGATCTCAGTGGAAAGGAGCACAAGGTTGGAAAAGAAACTATTTCTAGTGGGAGATTATGGTTTATACATTAAACTTTGTCAAACTAAAGACATTTCTCAGATGAACTCAAATCTCATTTCTCCTACACTAAATATTTATTGTACCAGAGGAATACACTTTATTTTAAAATGACTCTTGCTTTGCCTTTGCAGGGGACATTCATCATACCATTGCTGTCCTCTGTGCTGCACGATGAATCTCAATGGGAGAAACCACATAAATTCTATCCAGAACATTTTCTTAATTCTGATGGAAAATTCGTAAAGAGAGATGCTTTCATGCCTTTCTCTGCAGGTAATTTTTTTACTTTTGTGTATATCTGCATAGTGTGTGCTTAGTCCATGGGATTTTTACATGCATGGAAAGTAGCCTATTGTGAAAATGTAAGAATCACATCACTTGCTGTGGCCATTTCTGCCACCAGATCTGGCCACCATTGGTGTGCGGCCCCTGGAATGCTGCTCACCAGGGAATGTGGCCCTCAGGCTGAGAAAGGTTTCCCACCCCTGGTTTCCAGCATTGCAGGATGGCTCGTATTGGGAGTTCATAATTCTTTTAAGATGGGCACTGTGAGCTGTTATTTGATCTCTGCATTTTAGTCTGCTTTAAAGTATTTGGGATGTTATTAAGCAACTGCTAAACCCAGTTTCTCTGCTGCCTGTGTGTCCTTACAGGTCGGAGAGCATGTTTAGGTGAGACTCTTGCCAAAATGGAGCTCTTCCTCTTCTTCACAAGTCTCCTGCAGAAATTCACCTTCCAGCCACCCCCTGGAACATCTCAAGAAGACCTGGACCTTACTCCTGCTGTTGGGTTTACAACACCACCCATGCCCCACCAACTCTGTGCTCTGCCACGTTTCTAAGACTCACAAGCTCCTGGCTTGCTTAGCCTACCTGTGTGTGCAATGCGAGCCTTTCTTAAAACACCCCTGTTCTGCAAGGGTATTTGGGTTGAGTAGCCTAGTGGTGGAATTGGTGCATGCTTTGTCACAAATCTTGTGTTCCCCTTTACCTGCCATACTGCCGAATCCCGTGAAACTAGCATTGGAGCATCTCTTACTTAAAACCTGGCCCTGTGTTCTTATGACACTTGAGGCATTGAGATCAATCAACAAATCTGGTTGCATGTATTCCCATGTTAACATATACTTTCAAATATCTTGAAGCATCATATTGAAGCATCATGTATCTTAATTAACTTTCTCTGAGAGTCTGGGTAGCTTAAGGCTTTCCTTATCAATGGAATTCTGACTGGTCATATGTAAAATGAAAATGGTGGAAATGTGTCAAATTCAAAATCAAAACTTCAATCTCCACAAGAGGAAAAACTCCAAACCTTCTCTGCCTAGCTACTGCTCTGAGAGGGAAGACAGAGCTAATCCCTTTCACATTGGAGTCAGTGGAAGTCACCATGGTCTCACCAGGAAATAGAAAAAAAAGTCTGGTTTGAATCTCTCTTCTCTCTTAAGAAAATCCAGCCACATCCACTAAAATACTTTGAATTTTGTCTTCACTGGGCCCCATAACCTTTGTAGGAATGAATTTAGGCACCACAAGAAGATGCACTGCTAAGTTATTATCCTTCCTTGCTCACACTGTTGCATGTCATATGCTCTAATGTATACAAAGATATACCCTAATGCCATCATGTTGAACAGTTTCAAGATGGAAGTGAATAAAAACTATGCTAAAAAGAAAAATATGTGTGAGCGTTTCAATGGGAGAATGTTCAGGAAATACTGGACCCTTTCAAACTAAATGCTGTCGTCCCTAATTGAAGTTGAATAATTTCATCTGCAAATGATTTCACAATGCTGCTCACTATTGATAATCCTGAGTTATGAGTTCACCGTGTTCAAGAGCATTGTAATCTGTTCTGGAAAGCATTAGTTTGTGGAAGTAAGCACCACTCACTTGAGTAAACATTAAACTGAAAGGCATATCATCCAATGTACAGCTTTGAATAGTTGTGGAAAAGAAAAAAAATCAAAGGGTTTGTTTAATGATTTGCTAGAGACATTACGTAACATAATATATGGGCTGCTCATTGCAGTTGGTAGACACTGTTGTTGACCAAACTGAACTGTAGCTTTGTTGTTCTCGAATAAGTCTTTTAGACAGTGTTAGCCTTTTGGTTGCCAGGTTTTTATATGGAGGTTTTTGCTTGTTTTCTGTTTGGCTCCGGATGCCTCCAGGCCTTGGAGCTCTGCTCAGGGGCGGAGCAAGGGGGTGCATTGGGGGCGGGCCACACCGGGGGACATCCTGAGGGAGGGTGACACTCTGCATGTGTATCCCTGCCCGCGACTCCTAAGCCTACATCTGTCGGGGCCGCTGGCAAAGTGGCAAAGCTCCCCCCTCCCCGGCTCACTGTAGGCTTGGGAGTCATGGGCGGGTTGCCCTGTCATCCAGGAAAAGCCTTGCTCCACAGATCGCCCGCTTGTCCACTTGGTGCTTCGCTTCCTTCCTGCTCGGGCTGCTGGTGGAGGCGAGGGGCGGGCCAGGGAGGGGCATCGGTGGGCCACGAGAAGCACCCCCTCCCATCCCTCCGCCAGCTGGTGGCCGGCCTCCTTCCCTCGCCCCTTCCTGCCTCTTCTGCACGCATGGAGCAAGAACCACACCCCTGCGCCTGTAAAACAGGCTCTCTCTAACATTCCAGAGAAACCAAAAAGAAAAGTCACTGTTTTGAGCTCGTCTCTTTTATGGATGCAACGATTAGTTTTGGATACAACCATTGGGGATTGCACCAGCAGGGTAGAAAAACGCCTTTGCAATGCTTTGTTCTGATGCGTGGCCTCGCCTTTAATGAAATAATGCGCCCCCCTCCCAGCCATGGTACGTTTGCGTTGACGTACAGTAGTAGCTGTCTGAAATAAAACCAAAGGGCAATTCGCTGCTTGGCTGCAATTTTGCAAATACAACTAAGGTCGTTGCTCTTTTGTAGTTCTCCCATTGCCAGATGGATTCGATATTTGCAGGCCTCAATTTTGTTCTGTTCCTACGTTATGACTCTTCCACTGCTGCTCCTGCAGAGTAGGTGACTTTATTCATGGAGATCCTGCCACGGTTTTTCTCTTCTTTTCTTAGAATAAGGCAGCAGCCAGCGGACCGGCTTTGTACTGAACCTTTTGTGAATATCTATTATAGTTGGTGAACAGTGAAGGGATCCTGTGCAGACACAGATGGAAATTGGATAACTATTAGAGGGTTGTGATTGTTCTCTCTCTCATTACAGTAATTCACAGTTTTAATAAAATAATGCCATATCAATCTGAATCGGAGCTTTTGATTAAGAGTGCAGATGCACAGATCACTTTTTAAGCCTGCGTGTTCCACGATTTCAGAACAAAACCCCAGAGAATTCTCTACCTCCAAGAAAAAAAACCCTCCAACAAAACAGATATCTAAATATGAGTAACACATGTGCATTTATTTTGAAAATAATTATCAGAGAACTCTTTGCTGCTAGTTGCATGAAGTTGGTGCCCTACAAGTCTTGATCCGAGGGAGGGGGCGAGGAGCCGTGGCTGTGCCCTCGCCCCCCAACATGCACGCGATTCAGGCCGAGCGCTGCACCCCATTTGGGATCGGGGCCTGCAGGCAAGGCTAGGTGCAGTGTCAGAGCTGACTGAGCCCCCTGGCCATGTGGACTCCCCTGTACAGTGGGTAGGGGGCTACTGCAGATCCAACCCGTGTAAACAGTATGCTGCATAATTGCACAAGAATCAGCAGGTGAGAGGCGCTCATTAAAAGCCATTCCTCGGCTGCTCGATGGTGTTTCTGCAGGGGAATTCCAGATGAACGACCCTCCCACCAGCCGCTCCCTGCCTTAGCCCAGCCTCTGGCCAAGTGAGCATGCAAGGCTGGAACATTTCCTCTAACTTGAGCGAGCCCAACCCCCTGCAATGTAGGAATCTCCGCTAAAGCACCCAGGACAGATGGCCACCCAACCTCTCCTTAAAAACCTCCAAGGAAGGAGAGTACGGACCCTTCCGAGGGAGACTGTTCCACTGAGGAATAGATCTCACCGCCAGAAAGTTCTTACTTCATGCACATTTAAAAAAGGATTTTGAACCTCTTGCAATGCAGGGCATTGGGCCAGGAGCAGAGCAAGGGGGTTGCGGAAAATTCTTTGTCACCCTCCCCGCCCATGAATCCCAAGCTGACAGCAAGCGGCCCCGGCAAAGTGGTGAAGCTCCCCCCCTTCCCTTGGCTTGCTGTAGGCTTGGGAGTCATGGGGGGGGGTGACAAAAAAAAATCCACACCAGGTACCACCTGAGCTTGCTACTCCTCTGGCTCTGCTGAGCTGTCGGTGGGATGCTCCCATTCCCAGCGGGGTCGAGGCCACGGGGGGGGGGGGCTGGGGCTCTGTGCAGCCTCCTTGGTTGTCATGTTGGGAAACCCTGGTTACCCCCCAATCATGGTGGTGGTGACGGCAGCCATGGTGGCAGTGCGGGCACCAGCCAGGCAGCGCCATTGGTGCTTGTGGTCATCAGAGGCTCCATGCTGCTGTGGCGCTTGCCATCTTGTCTCTCCAGAAGTCCATACTGCTGCACTTTCAGAAATCCATCCCTGAATGCAGTTCAATAATCACTACAAAAAATTTCAACATACTGCTGCCCTTTACTCCCCTTATAACAGATTAATTTTACACATAATCTGGGTGACAGATCTGCATCCAGGTTCAAGAGAGTTTAATAATGGTTTAATGATTAGCTCGAGACAGAACCTAGCATAATATATATGCTGCTCACTGCAGTTGCAAGACATTGTCCTCGACCAAACTGCAGTGTGGCTTTCATTATAACCACTGCAAAACAAGTTGCTTGCTGAAACAAAATGGATTGGACGGAGCCGATTCCAGCGTTGTTCCTCTTTATCCTTATGATTTCCTTTGTTTTGAAACTGGGCACTTTCTGGAACAAGAGCTCCCAAAATCTTCCACCAGGACCGAGGCCTTTACCTCTCATTGGGAATCTCCACATCATGGATCTCAAGAGGCCTCACAGAACCATGTTAAAGGTAAAGCTTCCAGTTCTTCCCATGGCAAGGCTGAAGGGTACTGGGGCAGCCAAGTCAGATGAGCGGGGTAGAAAATTATTATTATTATTCTTAATATCAATAATACATTACATTTTGTTCTTTTAGAGCCTATAAATCTCATCTCCCCTTTCTGTGCTACAGAAGCATCTCTTAACTTTCCCAATCATAGGACCTAGTTGCATTTTATAATTGGTAATTTGAACAAGGTGTTTGGTGTCGAATCCCATTTGACTCTGCCTCCATTTTCAAGGATTCAAAAGTGCCAATGCAAACCTTGCCCAGCCCAGCCTCCTCCTTCAGCCTATCTTTCTAAACTTTCACCTTTGTCCTTAGCCGGCCGGAGATAATCGAGCAGCACAACCAAGGCAGTTTCAGTCTCATGATGAGGCCTGAATCCCAAATGGAAGGGATCCAAATGGCCCGCATCCTCTAGACATTCCTGGAGTTGTTCAGCAACCACCCGCTCAATCACCTTGCCAAAGAATGGAAGATTTGAGACTGGGTGATAGTTCACCATACTGGCTGGGTGCAAAGATTTATTTTTTAATAAGTGGCTTTATAACCACCACTTTCACCGGGTTTGGGAAGGCTCTTTAACAGAGTGAAGCATGCACCACCCCGCAGAACTTTTATGAGCCAGGATGGGCAAGGATGAAGGAGACAGGTGGTCAGTTGCACTTGTCCAAGCAGACATTCCTGGAGTTGTTCAGCAACCACCCACTCAATCACCTGGCCAAAGAATGGAAGATTTGAGACTGGGTGGTTGTTAATGCAGTCTTGGTTCTGTCAGAGATGATGTACATTAATATATTCTTTGGGTATACCAGAACTCTCTTTCTCACTTTTTATTCTGTTGAATTCCAGTTGTCAAAGCAATATGGCCCTGTCTTCAGCATCCAAATGGGACCCCAGAAAACTGTGGTGTTGACAGGATATGAGACAGTAAAGGAGGCTCTGGTTAATCAGGCGGACGCATTTGCAGACAGGCCCATCGTTCCATTATTTCAAGAGCTTGCACAAGGCTTTGGTGAGGCACCTCCCTTTCTACTGGAACTGGCAATGCTTGCAGACACAAACAGGTTCCCAAGAAATGGTTCGTAAGATGAGTTTTTGCAAAGCAAGTCATCGAAATCCATTGTTTCCTGTGGGGGAAATCCTTGTGAATTTTTCAACCCACCTCAGTGCCTTTGACATTGACAGAGTATCTGCAGGCATTAGGCTGAGAATGTGTCACAAAAAGTGTCACCTGTGGATTTCTGCAGATCAAGCTAAAATGTTAAAAAGAGTGGACCAGGTCTTGACTTTCAGTGGATAAGTGGTGCTCTGTTGAAGAAATAAAAATGGAGACCATTTAAAGCAAACCTTTCGCATTCCCACCTTCTTCCCAATAGTCATATTGTAGAGCTGGGGGAGAATGAGACAGGAGGATTGTGAATAATAGTTGCACAGCAAAGTAATGCCACACACCAAGGGGAAACTGACTGACCATTTTCTGGCCTAGCCTACACAGAGAGGATAAATTAAGAAGGCATAATGGAATACAAATAACAAGCTGAGTTCTGCTTGGCCTGACATGTACAAACCACCCTCTACTCTATCCTACACTTAGGGGTAAATATTGTTCAATGTGTTCTCAGTTCTTGCTCTGATGGCACAGCTGCCAGCTACTTTCTCAAAGCTCAGAAGTCTGAATGGGAGAATAGCTGGGATCCATTCTCAGTTCCATGGAAGAAATGCAGAACACAATTTATTGATTCTTTGTTCAATGGCCATACAAACATGATACCTTTTCTCCCGTCTCTTCAGGTGTAATTCTGTCTAATGGTGAAAACTGGAAAGTGATGCGGCGGTTTGCTTTAAGCACATTACGGGACTACGGAATGGGAAAGAGGACCATAGAGGACAGAATTGTTGAGGAATGCAGTGTCCTGATAAATAAATTTGAATCTTACAAAGGTGGGTTGGTGTTTTCCTCTGGTGCATAGCTACACTATCATTGTTTAAAGGTGCTAAGACTATTGTGTTACATATTCCTAACTTCCAGAAGCACAGCTCCCAGGGTTCCCTGCAATTGGTCTGTTCCTGTAATATGCAGATTGTACTGCAATAACTCCTGTGACTTCCAAGCATTTCTTAGCCCAGCTATGGCCACATCCGGCAACACTTAGGATCAGTTTCTTTGATAAATGAGGTCTACACATAGGGAAGCTGCCAATAGGGTTTTAAGGCAACAAAGAACAGACTTAAAAACAATGCCCTTTCCATACTTTGAATTTCTGTGGGGATGTTCAGGGAGGCAGGAGAGGATATATTGTTTAATGATATCCCCCAACTTGTGTTAGCAGAGGAAAGAGGAAGTTTTCTCCTGGCTGGTAGAAAGCATCCCATAGCATGTCCATTCTAGGAATGTTGTACTTGACTCCTATGTGTTTTACATCCCACATTTTTAAAAGAATTTTTTTGTTTAACTGTCATATTTATGTATAGGAAACCCATTTGAGACCACCACAATTATGAATGCAGCTGTTGCTAATATTATAGTGGCCATACTACTAGACAAGCGATTTGATTATGAAGATCCCACATACATAAGACTTCTGAAGTTGGTCAATGAAAATATCCGGCTTTTCGGAAGCTCTTCAGTCACGGTAATCTATTTTTTTCCATTTAAAACAAACAAACAGTTGATTATAATAACGGTGTATGCAAAGTGGGCAGGGCAACCTGTTTATTGTATATTGTTCACGATTCACCACAAAACACAAAATGATATTGTGAGAAACCTGGTGGTGATTCAAAATATTTAGAAAACTCATACGGCACAGTCATCCCGTAACTATAATAAAGTCTCTTTTGCACAAACCCTTTCTGGCCTGATTGCAGTCAGGACTCCAAGGACAAGGAAGAACAAGTGACAGTCATCTCGTAACTACAACAAAGTCTCTTTTGCAAACACGTGTCAGCGAAGCTCAGATTCTACCAGGAGGAGAAGCAGGCACAGGGAGAGGACAGTTAACAGCAGAAAGCAGAGAGGAGGGGGAAAGCAGCTGTAATCTGAGCTCTGACCAAAGGGACAGACAGAGGTGTGAGAACTCCAATAGTGGGCAAGACATTGGAATGCAGGAAATACTCTCTGCCAAATCTCGTAGGATTTCAAAAGTGGCAGAGCTGCGCGAAAGATACCGGAAGAAAAGGTGGGGGCTTCCGTTCTGGGGAAGGGGGAGGAGCTCAGTCTGGGCAACTGTATCTTCTGGGGAGGACGATGAGTAGAGGAGCTCCGTCCTAGTTTGTTGTTTTAGCAATTAACAGCCAGTGTTGCCTTGCATTTGTGGGAGAGACCAAGCTGTAACAACACGCTTCCTGGCCTCACTGCCATCGGGACTCCAAGGACAAGGAAGAAGAAGTGATTGTTTGTTCCATGATGGCTCAGAAGGGACCTCCAAGGGCAGATCTCCCTCTCTGAAGATAAACCTCCAGAGGAGAACTGCCATAACCTATTATTCCAGGGTTGCACATAAATTATGCTGTCCTGAGGTAGCCCTAACCCCATTCCAAATGCCATTCAAGAGTTTTGTTTGTATTTGGACAACCACGCTTTGAGAGACGCAATGAGAGAACTGTACTGAGCTTTCCTAATGTCTCTTTTTCTTTTTTCACATTTTTATCCTTTCAGCTGTATAACATGTTTCCTGCTCTTGGTTTTCTTTTGGGGGCTCGTAAGACTGTCATCCAAAACAGAGATGAGCTGTTTGCCTTCATAAATGCCACCTTCATAAAACACCTCAGAGATCTGGATGAAAATGACCAGAGGAGCTTTATTGACTCATTTCTTATCCAACAGCAAGAGGTAATGGAGTCTTTTAAGCTGGCCCAGAATAAGTGTTGCCATTTTCAATTCATGTTTTAAGGGCACATTCGCAAGTGAATGCATAAGTTGTAGTCAGGAAGTCTCACTTCAGAAGGGACAAACCTGGCATACTTCCTACCATTTCCCAATAGTCAGCCATTGTTAATGTGTTACAGAAGTTGCCTCTGCAGGGTCAATGGTTGCATGCTCAACAGCACTTCTGGGGGGAAATCCCTGATCAAGAAAACATGTAATTATAGATAATTATGCTGTGATGAGAGGTAATCAAGTCATAAATATTGGTTGCCAGACTCCCTTTTGATACAAGGGACGATGGGATAATGCCTCATGTGCTCAGAAGAAGGCATTCTTCACACTGGAGGAGATAGGAAGCTTTGAGGGTGGGGCGGCATCTCAGAGCAAGGAAAAAACATTGGCCCATGCACTGACCCATCACCCTTAAATTATGCCTTCAGTTCTTTTAACCATTACTAAGACTGGAAATGAATATGAATTGGAGTTTCTGCTTATCAATTAATTAGCACACAGAAAAGGAAACAGGTGGTTGGGTGACAACAAAGTTCTAAATAACAGGCTGGAAATTATTTCTAAAATCTTAAACTAATTACTGATGAGTTTGAAAAGTTAAAGCAGATATACAGGCCTGGTGTGCTGGTCCCATGGGTTACCCGAGAGGCGAGGTCCAAGTCCGGTCCGTGGTCAAAGGCGCAACATGGAGGCAGTCCGTAGTAGCTGAAGCTGGTTGCAGGGCAGGGAGTCGGGTGAAGTCAGGAACAGGCATGCAAGCAGGGATACAGGGCGGTTCACAAGCTCAGGCAGGAAAGCAGGACAGGGTCTAGGCAGGAACTAGCAACCAACAATGTTACTCCCGCAAGTTGGGACTGGGGCTGGCCGGCTTTTATCTGCCCCGAGGCATAGGGCAGCCCCGATCCTCTGGTGACTCACCTCTCCTGGCCTGGAGGCGAGCACTCCTCCTGCAGGAACCCTATATCATCATGATGGCACAGTCTGGAAAACCTGGAATCTCTCACTACTTAGCGACTGGAGTGATGTGCAATGATACTTTGGATCATCGGGTCCAGTCAGGTATTCATTTTTATCTTTGCACATGAAATTTTCTCACTACATTCGTTTTAATCAGTTCATACTCTTTGCAACCCAGGAGGAGAAGAAGAAGAAGACGAATGCATATTTCCACAATGAAAACTTAAAAACTGTTGTGGCCAACTTATTTGCTGCTGGCATGGAGACCACTTCTACCACACTGTGCTGGGGACTGTTACTAATGATGAAACATCCTGAAATTCAGAGTGAGTGCTTTTAATTGGGTTGGCTCCCATTATTCTGAGATATTTTAATTCCAGTTATATGTAACTATTAGAGAGATAAAATATTTATAATTTGCATACACACACACACACACACACACACACATGCACAATTGTTCAGTCATAAGTTTTACATTTCAACCTGGACTCCCTCTTTCTGTGGTTCTTTACATTTCATTTCATATTCCTGCATACTCCAAATTATCTCAACATATTCTTTTAGATATATATTCCCGTATATATCCAATAGATATATTGAAACTGCGGGTTTTTACATTAATCCTGCCAATGTCTTAGTATGTTTACAGTTTGTTTGTAAATACGCAATAAACCACTTCCATTGCTTTCTAATAATAATAATAATCTTTTTATTTTGCTTTTCTGCGTAGACCATTAATTTCTGTATCCATTCTTCTCTTGTCGGGACCTCTTCATCGTTCCATTTTTGAGCAAATAATAATCTTGCAGATATGGTTGCATAAATAAATTTGAATAAATTTATATAAATTGCATACATAAATAAATTTCTAAATATTCTATACCGACCACCCAGCACACCTGCAGCCACCCTGTCAGACCTGCTGGAGGTGGTGGCGGGCTGGGCCTTGGAGTTCCCAAACCTACTGGTTTTGGGAGTCTTCAACGTCCATGCCGATGCCGCTCCCTCCTCACAGGCTCTGGACCTAGTGACTTCCATGGCAACACTAGGGCTCTCCCAGTTTGTTTTGGGCCCCACTCATCAAGCAGGCCACACGCTGGATCTGATCTTTGGGGCTGGCATAGATGTGATCATGCTCCACGCTGTGGAAGTGCCATGGTCTGATCACTACGCTCTGAAAGCCAAGATTGACTTCCCGCTCCTCCCCGGCTCGGGTGGCGAACCTATTTGGGCTTGTCCGCGAAAACTGATGGATCCTGATAGATTCCGACAAGCCTTGCGGAACCCTGCTCCTCCTAGCGACTTATTAGATGACCTTGTTGAGGACTGGAATAAGCGGCTCTTGGCAGCCATTGATGAGATCGCGCCTAAGCGCCCTCTGCGACCCCGTCGAAACCGGGCCCCTTGGTTTACTGAGGAGCTCCGGAAAATGAAGCGGGATCTCAGACGGCTAGAGCGAGTATGGCGACGGACTCGTGACGGAGCCTCAAGAACATCTTATAGGACACTTATGAAAGCCTATGAGATGGCTATGAAAGCTGCTAAGAAATCTTACTTTGCAGCTTCCATTGCATCCGCTAGCTCTCGCCCGGCACAACTTTTTAGAATAATTAGGTGAATAATGTCCTTAGGAGGACAACCAAATTTAAGCACAAATTCGACCCACAGCTGTGAGGCATTCGCGAGCTTTTTTGCGGAGAAAGTCCTGTTGCTCCGCCGTGACCTCCCTGCCAATTTAGATACAATGACTGAACTGGAGGCCCCTCGACTGACTTCAGGTGCAGTGTTGGACCATTTCGATCGGATACTCCCTACTGATGTGGATAGATTCCTCCAAGTTGGTAGGCCCACCACCTGCCTCCTTGATCCGTGCCCGTCTTGGCTGATTAGGGAGTGTCCAGATGTTGCGTGGACCCCCCTGGTTGAAATTATCAATTTGTCCCTTGACACGGGGACATTCCCAGGGGAACTGAAGGAAGCAGTGGTGTGTCCACTCTTAAAGAAAACTTCATTAGATCCTTTAGACCTATCCAATTACCGCCCAGTTTCAAATCTTCCATACCTGGGTAAGGTAGTTGAGAGAGCGGTTGCTGAACAGCTTGGTAAGTTTCTGGAGGAAACATCGGCATTAGATCCATTTCAGTCCGGTTTCCATCCTGGTTTTGGGACGGAGACGGCTCTGGTTGCCCTAACAGATGATCTCCGTAGACAACTGGATCGAGGCGGGTCAGGACTGCTGATCCTTTTAGATTTGTCAGCAGCCTTTGACATGGTCGATCATGATCTTCTGGACCACTGCCTCGCAGATGTGAGGATACAGGGCATAGCCCGTAACTGGTTGTGCTCTTTTATCTCTGGTCGGGGACAGAGGGTGGCACTAGGGAGGGAAATGTCGTCGCGCCACTCCTTGGTGTGTGGAGTGCCGCAGGGCGCAATTCTCTCCCCGATGCTTTTTAACATCTTTATGCACCCCCTTGCCCAGATTATCCGGAGCTTTGGGCTGAGCTGTCACTAATATGCTGATGACACTCAGCTCTATCTGCTGATGGATGGCCACACCAACTCGGCCCCTTACAGACTGACCAGATGCTTGGAAGCTGTGGCTGGATGGTTTCATGGGAGCCGATTGAAACTAAATCCTTCGAAGACAGAGGTCCTATGGCTAGGCCGGGATGGCATGGGGATGAGGGACCAACTCCCTTCTCTTGCGGGGGCCCAATTAGTGCCATTGCCTTCCGTTAAGAGTTTGGGTGTAATCCTTGACACCTCCCTTTCCATGGAGGCGCAAGTTACAGCAACAGCCAAGGCGACATTTTTCCACCTTTGCCGCATCAAGCAGTTGGTCCCTTACCTTTCCCGCCCCGACCTGGCCACAGTGATCCATGCAACGGTCACCTCCAGGCTTGACTACTGTAATTCGCTCTACGCAGGGCTGCCCTTGAAGCTGTCCCAGAAACTCCAGCGGGTGCAGAATGCTGCAGCGAGGCTCCTCACGGGGTCTCTGCCATGGGAGCATATTCACCCAGTGCTTTTCAAGCTGCACTGGCTCCCGGTGGAGTACAGGGTCAGATTTAAGGTGCTGCTTTTGACCTTTAAAGCCCTTCACGGCCTAGGACCCTCGTACCTACGGGACCGCCTCTCCTGGTATGCCCCACGGAGAGCCTCAAGGTCCATAAATAACAACACCCTAGTGGTCCCAGGCCCTAAGGAAGTTAGATTGGCTTCAACCAGAGCCAGGGCCTTTTCAACTCTGGCTCCAGCCTGGTAGAACGCTGTGCCTCATGAGACCAGGGCCCTGCAAGATCTGATTTCTTTCCGCAGGGCCTGTAAGACAGAGTTGTTCCGCCTGGCCTTTCGCTTGGATCCAATTTGATTCCCTCCCTCCCTCTCTTTCTTTTTTCTTTTCCTTCTCCTCTTACGATGAGGCTACATTTTAATATTTTAATGTTCCATTATTTTAATGTTGTATTTTAGTTTTGTTTTTAAGTTGTAATCATTCATCTTGTTTTTATTATTGTTTGTAAGCCGCTCTGAGCCCGGCCTTGGCTGGGGAGGGCGGGGTATAAATAAAAAGTTATTATTATTATTATATTTTTATTATTATTATTACACTAAATAAATTTCTAGGTAGTTCTGATCTCATAATTTCCACAAAAAAAAGGTTATAGTTTTTTAAACATCTTTTTCAGTTCATCATATATCATTTCCCAGTAAACTTTAACCTTATTACAAAACCACCACATATGAAAAATAGTACCTTCTTTCTCTTTACATTTCCAGCACATATTCAGTTTGGATTTATACATTTAACCAATTTACTAGGTGTCAGATACCATCTATGTAACATTTTCATATAGTTGTCTCTTAAACTATAACATTCTGTAAATTTTATATCCACATTTGATAAACTTTCCCATGCCTCCATTTCTATATTATAACTAATATCTATTGCTCAGTGTATCATTGAAGATTTCCCTTGTTCGTCCTTTGTCTCCCATTCCAATAAGATCTTATACATTTTACATATCACTTTAATATTACAGGTCTCTTTCTAGTTGTGATGTTTGTTCCCCAACCCCCCGCTTCATATCCCTTTTAAAGACTTCATTCAAATGATGATATTGTAACCATGTTGTTAACATCTCTGATAAATCTTTAAAAAAAATTAATTTACCAGTAAATTCTCCAAAGGTCAAAGTCATAGTGGTGTTTTGGTCTCCAAAAGGTTTTTATACTTATCCCATACTCTATACATTTTCTTCCTGATTATATGGTTTGTAAAACCTTTATGTACTTTCACATTTTCATACCTCAAGTAAACGTGCCAACCAAAAATATTATCATGACCTTCCCAATCTGAAATATGTGAATTTAGAGAACTGTGAGTTTAGAGAACTGGGCAAAAACAAACAAGATGAATTTTAACAGGGAGAAATGTAAAGTATTGCACTTGGGCAAAAAAAATGAGAGGCACAAATACAAGATGGGTGACACCTGGCTTGAGAGCAGTACATGTGAAAAGGATCTAGGAGTCTTGGTTGACCACAAACTTGACATGAGCCAACAGTGTGACGCGGCAGCTAAAAAAGCCAATGCAATTCTAGGCTGCATCAATAGGAGTATAGCATCTAGATCAAGGGAAGTAATAGTGCCACTGTATTCTGCTCTGGTCAGACCTCACCTGGAGTACTGTGTCCAGTTCTGGGCACCACAATTCAAGAAGGACACTGACAAACTGGAACGTGTCCAGAGGAGGGCAACCAAAATGATCAAAGGCCTGGAAACGATGCCTTATGAGGAACGGCTAAGGGAGCTGGGCATGTTTAGCCTGGAGAAGAGGAGGTTAAGGGGTGATATGATAGCCATGTTCAAATATATAAAGGGATGTCACATAGAGGAGGGAGAAAGGTTGTTTTCTGCTGCTCCAGAGAAGCGGACACGGAGCAATGGATCCAAACTACAAGAAAGAAGATTCCACCTAAACATTAGGAAGAACTTCCTGACAGTAAGAGCTGTTCGACAGTGGAATTTGCTGCCAAGGAGTGTGGTGGAGTCTCCTTCTTTGGAGGTCTTTAAGCAGAGGCTTGACAACCATATGTCAGGAGTGCTCTGATGGTGTTTCCTGCTTGGCAGGGGGTTGGACTCGATGGCCCTTGTGGTCTCTTCCAACTCTATGATTCTATGATTCTATGATTCTATGAATTATTCAATAACAATCATTCCCTCAAACAGCATAAACAAGATGCTTCATAATAGACTCTCATATGCGGCAGGAAAAAAAACTCCTTTCTCTTTCATCTGTCAATTTTTTATGTTTTATTCTTATTTTTCCTTGTCAGATATACAGTGGTGCCCCGCAAGACGAATGCCTCACAAGACGAAAAACTCGCTAGATAAAAGGGTTTTCCGTTTTATGAGTCGTTCCGCAAGACGAATTTCCCTATGGGATTGCTTCGCAAGACGAAACGTATTGCGAGTTCTTGCGAGTTTGTTTCCTTTTTCTTAAAGCCACTAAGCCACTAAGCCGTTAATAGCCGCTAAGCCGCTAGGCCGTTAATAGCCGCTAAGCCGCTAAGCCGCTAATAGCCGTGCTTTGCAAGACGAAAAAACCACAAGACGAAGAGACTGGCGGAACAGATTAATTCCGTCTTGCGAGGCACCACTGTATTTAGAAATATATTTTTGCCATTTGTTGAAACAAATTTGTCGTCCTGATCACTGGTATTGATTGAAGCATTCTATGACCTTTTAAAATGTGGTTTTTTTGTAGGGGAGTTATTGGGTGGTTGTTTTTATTTTGATTATGTATTTTGTGGTATTATATTTTGATTTTATTCTGTGAACCTCTGGATATAGGGTGGTATATACATTCACTAAATAATAATAATAATAATAATAATAATAATAATAATAATAATAAATAAATAAAAAATAAAACAAAAAGAATATTGTCAGTAATGCAGTCATTTTAATTGTTGGAGTAATGAAAGTTTCATTCTCCTCCATATTTGCAAATTTATTTTAATATCCTCCCAAGTTTTTAAATAATTATCCTTATACAAATTTATATTCTTGCTCTTAACCACACACTCAAATATTTAATCTTCTTTTTACTATTTAAGATAGATAAACTTTGTAATTTATTTTTACTCTCATCATTCATATTTTTTTACCAGCAGTTTAGTTTTATCTTTATTAATTTTAAGACCTGCTATTTCTAAATAAATAAATAAATAAATAATCTTTTCCAATGCCTTTGGGATTGACTGTATTGGTTCCTCAACAAATATCACCAAATTATCTGCAAAATCTATATTATATTATATTATATTATATTATATTATATTATATTATATTATATTATATTATATTATATTATATTATATTATATTATATTATATTATATTATATTATATTATATTATATTATATTATTAAATTATTATTCATATTGTCTCTTTCCTGCTTTTATTCCCACTTATTTGTTTCATTACATCTTATTCTTTGTACCAAAACTTCTAAAACTGTTATAAACAATAAAGGTGACAGTGGGCAACCCTGTCTAGTTCCTTTTGTTATTTTACAATTCTCAGTCAATACATTACTTACTGATGGATCAGTATATATTGCCTTAACTCCTTTTATAAAACTGTCTCCACAAAAAATATATTCCAAAGCCTTAAACATATAAAGTCCCAGGAGACATTGTCAAATGCTTTCTCGGAGTCTAAATGCTTTCTCTTTTAATACAGTTTTCAACCTATTAGCTAATATGTCTGCAAACAATTTATAATCCTTATCCAACATCGAAATAGGTTGATAGCTCTTAACCAGCTTTGGATCTCTATTTTGTTTATGAATCAATGTTATGTATACACTCTTCTGGGATTTGGGTAACTCTCCTGTATTCAAAGTTATAGTCATAATATCTTTTAAAGGTTGCATTAGGTAATCTTGTAATTTTTTAATAATATATTGCTGAAACTCCATCAGGTCCGGTGCCTTCCCTAATTTTGCCTGTAAAATTACTTGCTGTAAAACCATCATTGTGACAGCTCTATTCAGAAATGACATTTCAACTTTTGGTATCTTAAGCAGTCTGTTGTCTTCTAAATATTTACCCATTTCTTCCAGCTTAATTCATTTGCCTTAATATTGTGCTGTATAAAAACTCATGAATTGATCTATTATTTTTTTCAGATTTTCCACAACTCTACCTCCTACATTTATTCTATCAATGCAGTTTTTTCTTCTTTCTTCTTTATTTGCCAAGCTAATAGTTTTCCTGTTTCTTGGAGGCATATAACTTCCAAGTTTAACTTCTTTACAACATGATCAATTTTATTCCATTAGTATTATTATTTTGCTTATTTACATTCCCAGTTAGAATTTTCAAAGCCATCTTGTTCCATAGTTATTTCTCTTTCGCCTCCGCCTCGGTTGAATCTTCCTCTTCCTGTCCAAATGCTCTTTCTCCAGCTAACTTTCCACCATATTTTCTCCAAAATTTGTATGGCTCGGTAGGATCACGAAATATTTGGTTTTTACCATTATATGAAAAAGATACCACTTCAGGATATTCCCAGCAGTGATAATGTAATAATCATCCTGGATGAATTGCCCTACATCAGTATATCAGGTTATTGGCTAAAATGTTTTTCCTGTTTAAAAAATACCAGTGTCACATTCTAGAGACTAAGTATGTGAATATATTCCCTGTTTATTTTGCCTGTACCTCTGTTGACTCTTCCTCTTCCTGTCCAGCTTCCCTTCCAAATGCTCTTTCTCCAGCTAACTCTTTCTCATATTTTCTCCAAAATTTGTCAGGGTCCGGAGGATCCCAAAATCTTTGTTTTTGACCTTTATATGTAAAAGATACCACTTCAGAATATTCCCAGCAGTGATATTTTAATAATCATCCTGGATGCATATCTCTCCCTCAGTATATCAGGTTATTGTCTAAATTGTTTGTTTGTCCTTCTTAAAAATACATTTGTTAAATTCTAGAGATTAAATTTGTGAGCCTATGGAATTGTAGAATGAGTTTGTGGCAGTTTTATGCTTCAGAGATTAATTTTTAAGAGACCTAAATCAAAGACATAATCTGAGCTGAAAAATGAATGCTTTTTTTGTTGTTGTTGTTTTTTGTTTCCCCCAGTAAAGGTCCAAGAAGAAATTGCAAAGGTTGTTGGATCTTCTCAGCCAAGGATTGAACACCGAACAAAAATGCCTTATACAGATGCCGTGGTCCATGAGATCCAGAGGTTTGCCAATATCGTCCCAACCAACCTGCCACATGCCACGGCTACAGATGTTACCCTCAATGGCTACTTCATTCCAAAGGTGATCCTTTTCATTGAGCTGCTGTCTACTAGTTACAATAGATTTTAAGGCTTTCCTGGGAGTAAGCCCCTTGGACTTCAGTGTGGGTGACATCTGTGCAGACTTGTATAGGATTGCACTGTAAGCAAGCAATCTACCCTTTGGAAGGTGTCAGGCATCATCTTCAACCCATTAAACAGATCTCAGTGGGAAGGAGCACAAGGTTAGAAATAAGATGTTTCTTGTGGGAAATCATCGTTTATACATTAAAGTTTGTCAAACTAAAGACATTTCTCAGATGAACTCAAATCTCATTTCTTCTACACTAAATATTTATTGTACCAGAGGCATACACTTTATTTTAAAATGACTCTTGCTTTGCCTTTGCAGGGGACATACATCATACCATTGCTGTCCTCTGTGCTGCATGATGAATCTCAATGGGAGAAACCACATAAATTCTATCCTGAGCATTTTCTTAACTCTGAAGGAAAATTCGTAAAGAGAGATGCTTTCATGCCTTTCTCTGCAGGTAACTTTTTTTTAACTTTTGTGTGTATCTGCATAGTGTGTGCTTAGTCAATGGGATTTTTACATGCCTGGAATGTAGCCTATTGTGCAAAGGTAAGAATCACATCAGTTCCTGTGGCCATTTCTGCCACTAGATCTGGTCACCATTGGTGTGCGGCCCCTGGAATGTTGCTCACCAGGGAATGTGGCCCTCAGGCTGAGAAAGGTTTTCCACCCCTGGTTTTCAGCATTGCAGGATGGCTCGTATTGGGAGCTCATAATTCTTTTAAGGTGGGCACTGTGAGCTGTTATTTGATCTCTGCATTTTAGTCTGCTTTAAAGGATTTGGGATTAAGCAACTGCTAAACCCAGTTTCTCTGCTGCCTGTGTGTCCTTACAGGTCGGAGAGCATGTTTAGGTGAGACTCTTGCCAAAACGGAGCTCTTCCTCTTCTTCACAAGTCTCCTGCAGAAATTCACCTTCCAGCCACCCCCAGGAACATCTCAGGAAGACCTAGACCTTACTCCTGCTGTTGGGCTTACAACACCACCCATGCCCCACCAACTCTGTGCTCTGCCACGTTTCTAAGACTCACAAGCTCCTGGCTTGCTTAGCCTACCTGTGTGTGCAATGCAAGCCTTTCTTAAAACACCCCTGTTCTGCAAGGGTATTTGGGTTGAGTAGCCTAGTGGTGGAATTGGTGCATGCTTTGTCACAAACCTGAAGTGTTCCCCTTTACCTGCCATACTGCCAAATCCCGTGAAACTAGCATTGGAACATCTCTTACTTAAAACCTGGCCCAGAGTTCTTATGACACTTGGGGCATAGAGATCAACCAACAAATCTGGTTGCATGTATTCCCATGTAAACATATACTTTCAAATATCTTGAAGCATCATATTCCCAGGTAGATGTGCAGAGAAAGCCACTTCCGAGCTAGGGAGGAGGTGGGGTTGCGGGCTTCACGCCCCTTCCCACACTCGCGGGGGCTGGCTTCAGCCCACACGATAGCGGGGAATCCTCGGACGCGTCATACCCCGAGCCAGCCAATCGGCTGGCTTGGGGGGCGTGGTCTCACCTACTTAGGTCTGGCGCAGCCAGGGCTTTTCCTCTTTCCTGCGCCGCAGCTGACCTGGTTTTCCCTCCCCTCCCACCCTTTAGGCTAGGCTCTCTGACGTTGCTATGGGCTTCGGTAGGTCGCTGTTAAGGGGCCTGGTAGGAATTTTTCCAACTGGCAGATTGGCACCAGCCACTTTGTTTTTTGTTTTTTGTTTAAGCGTTTATTAATTTTCCAATAAAAACATCGAATTAACATATCAAATCAAATCCAATTTAAAAAAAAACCTAAAATAAAAAAGTCCAATTGTCTTCCAAATTGTAATAATTTTTGTTTTGGCTTCCCACAGTCTGAATTCTGAAGCGCTTTCAACACCATAGTCCTGCCTCTCATCATCCTCAATGTTTTTCATAATTCCATATCCGATTTTTCCCCTCCACGTTTTGACTCTGGTTCTGCGGTCCTCTTTCATGTCAGAAAACAGATACTTTTTTCCCTATGGAGTGCAGATTTGTCCGTATATTGTACTCTTTCAGCTGCTTTTGTTTTTTCATCGCACCACTTCATTTAATTGCATCCAGCTCTTTGAGAATTGTTATTTTGGCAGCTCCCAAATCGTTGATCTTTCCCATCCAGGTGTTATCAAAGAAGCAGAGAGAAACCTCCTTCTTTATTCTTAAGCAGACTGTTTGCAATGTAGCCAGAAGCAGAAAGTTAACAATTGGCCTTTGGAATCCTCCCAATCCCCCCTCCAGACCCTAGAGGGGGCTGCCAGACATCCATTCAGCCCTCTCTCGCTCATAATAAAAAAGATCTTTGTACAAACAGTTGTGTATATAATATTGTTTCCAGTCTTTATGACCAACCATCAGTTAGCTCCTGTTTTTCTTAATCAGGGAAGTATTTCAGATATTCCATAAGTGTGTGGTGGGTAGAAGCCATTTTGTCCTTTGTCCTTTGTTTTTGTCTTTAACAGGCATTTCAAATCTTTGAAGCAAAGCAGCTGCGAATAGGTCCCAATTATATATGAAAGTCCATCTGTACTCACTTTTTGAAGAGCAATTTAGGTTCCTAATGAGGCTTGGCATGCAATGCAAATTGTTAATGTAAGAGGGAAAAGAAAAAACATACCAAGACCGTCCAGATTCCAAACATCATGATGATGATCTCTTTGAAGTTCGATGTACCAGAGACTGTACATACTGCAGGTTTTTCCCCCAGCTTCGTCAGTTCAGAGCGTGTCTGGTTGCTTTCCAAATCTTTATATTTTCCCAAACAGATGCGTCCGGCTATGGGGTGGCATCGCAGGAGTGTCAGTCCGTCCCTTGCTCCGTGACCCAGTGCCCCTGCTGTCTGCCACATCAGCAATCTGGGGCAAACCGCGGGTCATCAAGACAGTCCTCCCCTGCCCTGGGGAAGCTGCCAGGGCTAATTACCCCCACATCAGCCCTGAATATTCAGAACGGCTGAGGTCCAATCATGTGGGATCCGCCATTTTCCATGGCCAGAAACAGGAAGCCCAGCACCAGCCACTTGGTTAACTCGAACTCTTGTGTCCTGTGTCTTTATTTCTATAGGGGGGGGCAGGAACTCGCCACGCAATTGTGACCAAGACGAAAAAGGGTCTGGAAACCATGCCTTATGAGGAATGTTTGAGGAAGTTGGGAATGTTAACATCTGTGGCTGCAATGTATGCTGATTTTGAACTGTATTTGTTGTTGTCAGGCAATGGCTTTGTTTCCTCCAGGTTCTTTAAAAAGTCTGTAATAATAGATCTGGCAACTGGGTTTGCTTCTGGCATCGCCTTGCTACCAATTAATTCTGTGACTTTCTGCTTCTGGCTTAGGACTGGGACGTCCAACTCCCACGAGACTGTGATCTACTCACGGGGGGGAACTGGCAGTGAAAGTTGTTAAGGTACTTTTAGAGAGGAAAGTTCCATTTTGGGGGTTAAGGCCAAGCTTCTTGAGCCTTTTTTATGGAGAAAATCTCCGTTATTAAGGGGGAAATGTCAGACTATAGTAAGAGGGAGAGGGGATTAGTCATTCACCAAAAGATCGCTATGGAAACAATTTGCCTCACAGTGAAAACTCTGTCATCTGTTCCAACGATCAGCTGAAATTGGTGGGCGGGGAGAGGGGAAGGGCCAGCTGCTCTGAGGCAAAAACAAAGGAAAAGGAGCCAGGAATCGACCAGAACCTCCCGGGTATCGATCAGTCGATCCCGATCAACCTGTTGGTTATCCCTGGAATAAAACAACCATCTTCCATGTTCTCTCTGTATCTGAATGAACTTTCTCTGAGAGTCTGGGTTAGCTTAAGGCTTCCCTCATCAATGGAATTCTGACTGGTCATATGAAAATGGTGGAAATGTGTCAAATTCAAAATCAAAACTTCAATCTCCACAAGAGGAAAAACTCAAAACCTTCTCCGCCTAGCTACTGCTCTGAGAGGGAAGAGGGAGCTGATCCCTTTCACAATAGAGACAAGGGAAGTCACCATGGTCTCACCAGGAAATAGAAAAAATGTTTGGTTTTAATCTCTCTTCTTTCTTAAGAAAATCCAGCCACATTCACTAAAATACTTTGAATTTTGTCTTCACTGGGCCCCATAACTTTTGTAGGAATGGATTTAGGCACCACGAGAGGATGCACTGCTTAGTTATTATCCTTCCTTGTTCACATTCTTGCATGTCATATGCTCTAATGTATACAAAGATTTACCCTAATGCCACCATGTTCAACAGTTTCAAGATGGAAATGAATAAAAACTATTCTAAAAAGAAAAATATGTGTGAGTGTTTCAATGGGAGAATGTTCAGGAAATACTGGACCCTTTCAAACTAAATGCTGTCGTACCTAATTGAAGTTGAATAATTTCATCTGCAAATGATTTCACAATGCTGCTCTCTACTGATAATCCTGAGTTATGAGTTCGCCGTGTTCAAGAGCACTGTAATCTGTTCTGGAAAGCATTAGTTTCTGGAAGTAAGCACCACTCACTTGAGTAAACATTAAACTGAAAGGCATATCATCCAATGTACAGCTTTGAATAGTTGTGGAGAAGAAAAAAATCAGAGGGATTGTTTAATGATTCGCTAGAGACATTACATAACATAATATATGGGTGGCTCATTGCAGTTGGTAGACACTGTTGTTGACCAAACTGCTCTGTAGCTTTGTTGTTTTTGTAGAAGTCTTTTAGACCGTGTCGGCCTTTGGCTTGCCAGGTTTTTATCTGGAGGTTTCTGCGTTTTTTCTGTTTGGCTCCGGAGGCCTCCAGGCCTTGAAGCTCTACTCAGCTATCGGTGGGATGCTCCCATCCCAGCGGGGTCGAGGCCACTGGGAGGCGGCTTGGGGCTATTCACGGCCTCCTTGGTTGTCGCATTGGGCACCCCTGGTTACCCCCCAATCATGGTGCTGATGGCGGTGCAGGTACCATCCAGACAACGCCATTGGTGCTTGTGGTCCTCAGAAGCTCCATGCTGACCTTGGCGCTTGCCATCTTGCCTCAACGGAAGTCCATACTGGAGCACTTTGAAACATTCATCCCTTAATGCAGTTCAATGATTACTCTAAAGAATTTCAGAATGCTGCCCTTTACACCCATTATAACAGATTAATTTATACATAATCTGGGTGGCATGTCTGCAGCCAGGTTCAAGAGAATTTGAATCTGTTCTGGGAGGCAACAGTTTTTGGAAGTAAGCACCACTCACTTGAGTAAACATTAAACTGAAAGGCAAATCATCCCATGTACAGATTTTAATAGTTGTGGAGAAGAAAAAAAAAATCAGAGGGGCAAATCTGAACACATTTCCATTTTACTGGATGGTTTAATGATTTTCTAGAGACAGTACCTAGCATAATATATATGCTGCTCACTGCAGTTGCAAGACATTATTCTTCACCAAATTGCACTGTAGCTTTCATTATAACCACTACCCCAAATAATTGCTTGCAAAAACGAAATGGATTGGACGGAGCCGATTCCAGCGTTGTTCCTCTTTATCCTTATGATTTCCTTTGTTTTGAAACTGGGCACTTTCTGGAACAAGAGCTCCCAAAATCTTCCACCAGGACCAAGGCCTTTACCTCTCATTGGGAATCTCCACATCATGGATCTCAAGAGGCCTCACAGAACCATGTTAAAGGTAAAGCTTCCAGTTCTTTCCATGGCAAGACTAAAGGATACTGGGGCAGCCCAGTCAGCAGAGCGGGGTATTAATAATAATAATAATAATAATAATAATAATAATACATTTTGTTCTTTTACAACCTATAAATCTCATCTCCCCTTTTTATGCTACAGAACCTCCTATTATCTTTCCCAATAAATAGTCATAGGACCTAGTTGCAATTTATAACTAGTAATTTGAACAAGGTGTCTGGGGGTGTCTGGTGTCAAAACCCGTTTGACTCTGCCTCCATTTTCAAGGATGCAAAAGTGCCAATGCAAACCTTGCCCAGCCCAGCCTCCTCCTTCAGCCTATCAAACATGATCAAACACCAAACTTTAAAACTTACTTTAAAAGGGCTGCCTTCAGGTGTCTTCTAAAAGTCAGATAGTTGTTTATTTCCTTGACATCTGGTGGGAGGGCATTCCACAGGGCGGGCATCACTACCAAGAAGGCCCTCTGTCTGGTTCCCTGTAACCTAACTTCTCGCAGTGAGGGAACCACTAGAAGGCCCTCAGAGCTGGATCTCAGTGTCCGGGCTCAATGATGGGGGTGGAGACGCTCCTTTAGGTATACTGGGCCGAGGCCGGTTGGGGCCAATATTGGTCTTTACGGGCCGGTGTTATATGGTCTCGGCAGCCACTCCCAGTAACCAGTCTAGCTGCTGCATTCTGGATTAGTTGTAGTTTCCGCGTCACCTTCAAAGGTAGCCCCACGTAGAGCGTATTGCAGTAGTCCAAGCGGGAGATAACTAGAGCATGAACCGCTCTGGCGAGGCAGTCTGCGGGCAGTCTGCGGGCGGGTAGGGTCTCAGCCTGCGTACCAGATGGAGCTGGTAGACAGCTGCCCTGGACAAAGAATTGACCTGTGCCTTCATGGGCAGCTGTGAGTCCAAATTACTCCAAGGCTGCGCACCTGTTCCTTCCAGGGCACAGTTACCCCATTCAGGATGAGGGAGTCCTCCACACCTGCCCACCCCCTGTCCCCGCAAAACAGTACTTCTGTCTTGTCAGGATTCAGCCTCAATTCAGCCACCATCTACCTCCAACCGCCTCCTGACACTCACACAGGACCTTCACTGTTCTGTTTTAAAAGAGAGGTAGAGCTGGTTTTCATCCGCATACTGATGAACATGTAGCCCCAACCTCCTGATGATCCCTCCCAGCAGCTTCATGTTGATGTTGAAAATAATGGAGGAGAGGATGGAACCCTGAAGCACCCCACAAGTGAGAGCCCAGGGGCACGAACAGTTATCTCCCAACACCACTTTCTGGACACAGTCCAGGAGGAAGGAGCAAAACCACTGTATAGCAGTGTTTCCAGCTCCCAGCCCCTCTAGACGGTCCAGAAGGATGTCATGGTCGATGGTATCAAAGGCCACTGAGAGATCCAGCAAAACTAGGAAACAGCTCTCACCTTTGTCCTTAGCTGGCCGGAGATCACTGGCCCACAGTTTCAGTCCCATGATGAAGCCTGAATCCAAATTGGAAGGGATCCAAATGGTCCACATCCTCCAGGCGTGCCTGGAGTTGTTCAGCAACCACCCGCTCAATCACCTTGCCAAAGAATGGAAGATTTGAGACTGGGTAATAGTTCACCATATTAGCTGGGTGCAAAGATTTATTTTTTAATGAGTGGCTTTATAACCACCACTTTCAGCGGGTTTGGGAAGGCTCTTTAACATGGTGAAGCATGCACCACCCTGCAGAGCTTTTATGAGACAGAATGGGCAAGGATGAAGGAGACAGGTGGTCAGTTTCACTTGTCCAAGCAGTCTATCCACATCCTTGGAGGTAACAGTTTGGAATTGATCCCATGCAACTTGACTAGACATCCCATGCAACTTGACTCTAGCACTCTCCCACCCCGGCCCTGCTCCCACGGTGGAGTTTACTGAACTGGGTGAAAAGGCTGAGCTGCTGTATCATGAGTCCAGCAACTCTTGCTGCTACAGCTATTAGTAGCAAATGTCTTGAAGAGGATTGTGGCATAGACAATGCTCTTTTACTTTATCATTTGGATTCTGTTATTGAAAAAAAACTGATAACAGTCAAACTGTGCTACTAGATTCTGTGGATTGTATAAAAGAGCCTTTACTCTCAGGTAAATGTGCAAGCTAATACAGTCTTGGTTCTGTGAGAGATGATTTACATTAATATATTCTTTGGGTATACCAGAACTCTCTTTCTCACTTTTTCTTCTGTTAAATTCCAGTTGTCAAAGCAATATGGCCCTGTCTTCAGCATCCAAATGGGACCCCGGAAAATTGTGGTGTTGACAGGATATGAGACAGTAAAGGAGGCTCTGGTTAATCAGGCGGACGCATTTGCAGACAGGCCTACCTTTGCATTATTTCAAGAGCTTTCACAAGGCTTTGGTGAGGCACCTCCCTTTTTATTGGAACTTGTAATGCTTGAAGATATAAATAGGTCCCACCAGGTGAAGACAATCTGTTCCCAAGAAATGGTTCGTAAGATGAGCGTTTGCAAAGCAAGTCAACAAAATCCATTGTTTCCTGTGAGGGAAAATCCTTGAGAATTCTTCAACCCACCTCAGTGCCATTGAAATTGACAGTGTATCTGTAGGCATTAGGCTGAGAATGTGTCACAAAAAGTGTCGCCTGTCAATTTCTACAGATCAAGCTAAAATGTTAAAAAGAGTAGACCAGACCAACTTTTTTTGGTCTTGACTTTCAGTGGCTCAGTGGGGCTCTGTTGAAGAAACAAAAATGGAGACCAGTTAAAGCAAACCTTTCCCATTCCCACCTTCTTCCCAATAGTCATATTGTAGAGCTGGGGGAGAATGGGGCAGGAGGATTGTGAATAATAGTCACATGGAAAAGTTATGCCACACACCAAGGGGAAACTGACTGACCATTTTCCGGCATAGCCTGCACAGAGAGGATAAATTAAGAAGGCATAATGTCTGCTCATTGAACACAAAGTAACAAGCTGAGTGCTGCTGTGACCACTGTCATGTACAAAGAACCCTCTACTCTATCCTATCTATCTATTTGTTCTCAGGTCATGCTCTGATGGCACAGCTGCCAGCTACTTTGTCAAAGCTCAGAAGTCTGAGTCTGACTGAGAGAATAGCTGGGATCCATTCTCAGTTCCATAGAAGAAATGCAGAACATAATTTATTGATTCTTTGTTCAATGGCCATGCAAACATGAAACCTTTCCTCCCGTTTTCAGGTGTAAGTCTGTCTAATGGTGAGAACTGGAAAGTGATGCGGCGGTTTGCTTTAAGCACATTACGGGACTACGGAATGGGAAAGAGGACCATAGAGGACAGAATTGTTGAGGAATGCAGTGTCCTGATAAATAAATTTGAATCTTATGCAGGTGGGTTGGTGTTTTCCTCTGGTGCATAGCTACACTACCATAGTTTAAAGGTGCCAAGACTATTGCGTTACATATTCCTAAATTCCAGAAGCACAGATCCCATGGTTCCCTGCAATTGGTCTGTTCCTGTAATGTGCAGATTGCACTGCAATAACTCCTGTGACTTCCAAGCATTTCTTAGCCCAGCTATGGCCACATCCAGCAGCACTTAAGATCAGTTTATTTGATAAATGAGGTCTACACATAGGGAAGCTGCCAATATGGA